CACTATAACCAGAGGTAGATAATGTCTAACAGTGGAATCCAGCATTCACGTTTCATCCTTATTTGTGACTCTTCAGCTGGATGTCCCACATCTCGTGATTGATATACACTCCGGCACTCGAACCAAGTAAGTACCTTACGCGCATCAAATCCTAACGTGTTATTTATTCACTTTTGACCAGTCCTAGATTTCACCATCAGCAGCCACTTTATTTATTTGAATTAAATCTATACTTTTTCGTTGTAAAAATCACCTTTCTTTCTTTCTCTCCGTTGATCAGGTGAGGAGTTTCTCAATGGTTCTGCCTTTGTTAATTCCACTTATCAATAGTTAATCAATTGAAGTATGAAATCAATTATTTTTTTATTAATCTGTTTTATTAATTTTGTGGATAATTGTGGATAATCTGTTTGTTTATTTTTTTTTAAAATTATTTGTTAATCAAATAAAAATAATTATTAATAAAAGGGAAAAAAAGTGATTGTTTATTTTTGTTACCTATCAAAGAAGTGAGAAAACCCCTTTTAAACGATACAATTTCTAAATGGCGTAGAAGTGATCAAGTGGATAGGATAGTCTTAGGAAGGACTTATTTTCTGAGCTGAATTGTGAAACTCTCCCGAAAATGCCTCATGGCAATTTCGTAGAATTATGTCATTATGTCATCGTCACATTGAGGAAAGCACTCAACTGTGTCACATGACAAGCCTTCACTTGGAATCTTCAAAGACATAGGAAAAGTGGTAAAGCAAGGAACACATCATGCCGAGAAATGTAGACAGATAAGAGAAGGATGAATGGAAGTTCGACAGACCTAAAAAGGAAGTCTTAGAACAGAGTAGGCTTGAGTAGGCTAGTCGGCGGCCTAAGCTCCATTGGAGATAATAGGTGTAAGCAGGTAAGTAGGTAATAGTGGGTTGCATCAGCAACTAAACTAGTGATAGGGAGTGAGGCGATTGAGCTTGTCGACCGCTTCACTCACCTCTGGTGTCTCACCATTGATAATGGTCTGGTGTGTGACGAAATATTAGCACGGATACAAAAGGTTCGATTGGATTTGTCAACGTGCATCTTTGCGAGATTTCCGTCTATTAAATAAAGGACGAGTCTACTGTGTAGCAGCCCTCTCAGTCCTACTTATGGCTGTGAAACATGGCCAGTCAGAGTAGAAGATATTCGAAGGTTGCTGTTTTTCGAACATAGGTGTCTCCGAAGCATTGCTTGTTTATCTTGGGACTATGGAGTAAGCAATACAGTTGTTAAGAAACGGATACTAGGTAAGGATGGCAGATCAATAGATGAAGGTGGTGAAACTTCATCAGTTGAGGCAATTGGGACATGTGTTACTTATGCCTAACCACCGACTGCCTCGTCAAGCTTTGTTTTGTGGTGTAAGAGTAGGTTAGAAAAAAGTTAGGGGCAGCCAAACCAAAACATGGCGCAAATCTATGAAGTCACTGACAATTGGATTGTCATGTTAGTAAGTGTAGACTACCTGATTGGGGTCCGCGAGATGATAATAATCAGTGGTTATAGACCTCGAATAACATGGCTCAAAACTGTTTGCAGTGACGCAGGTGCATCCATTCTTTGTGTTCTTTCAAATTCTTATCTTCTGAGTTCTTTATGACCGTTTTTTCGCTCTATTTTTCAACTGATTTCTCTGGGGTATGCATCTCGAATGATATTATTCAATCATGAATCTTTTTGATTACTGCTACTACTTCTACTTACCTCTACTACCATTATGGGATTCGAAGTGACAATTACGTCTCTGTGTTCATGTGGTATAACAACATGAACTTATGTACGTACGTAGGTACAATGTTCTACGTTGCTGTTGATAGGATTGATTGATTGATTGCATTGACATTAATCAGTCAGTCAGTCAGTCAGCTACGACGCAGACCTTCGGATGCACGTACATGCGAAGTTCATCGTTGTAACTGACTGACTGACTAGCTGACTGACTGAAGTAATATTGTCATCCCAGTGAAATGATGATACACAAGTACTTTCAAATATTATCTATGAACTGGAATGAAATTTATCTTAATCAAATCAAAACAACGCCAAAAATCTTTCATTTTCTTTTTTTTTTTAAATTACTGTTATTTTTTTTATTGTAAACACTAATTAACTCTTTTCTTACAATCATAGACTTGATAACTATGAAAAAAAAAAATTTACAATTATTATCTCTAATTATATTGAAAACAAAACAAAGTTTAAATAATTAATAATAATAATATGCAATAGATAAGCATTCAAAAAGCAGCCAATATAATAAAAAACTGATCATCCAGTTGCAGAGAAAACGACATTGAAAAAACAAAAATATTACGATTAAATCTTATAGTTAGGAGGCTGTGTATTTTTTTTTCTCAAGAGATTACCACTGCCAATTATAAAAGTAGTTTAGTCTCAATGACTGACTGACGCGGTGACATAGAGTCGGAGAGAAAAAGACAGAGAGAGAGAGGTAAAGAGAGTAAAGGCATAGAAAGCGAAGAGACGACAATGAAATATACAACATAACGTAAGACAGATGATATATAGGTTGATTAATAATCGGATAAGATATCATATTCAACACAGACAAGCAAGAGTTGTTTGATCGTTTCTTTGGGAAAAACTTATCTTGGCCTATGAAGATTATTCGGTGTTAATGAACCGAAATAATTTTAATTTCCAGTAAAAGAAGTACTGGATGACTGTCAACATCTAGAGGGAAGCACGGTATCAACTGGACAGTTAGGACGCAGCTGGACGATCTGAACTTCGCAGATGACCTAGCTCTTCTATCGCACACTCAGCAACAAATGCAAGAGAAGATGACCAGTGTAGCAGCAGCCTCTGCAGTAGTAGGTCTCAACATACATAAAGGAAAAAGCGAAATTCTCCGATGCAACACAACATGCACCAAACAAATCACGCTTGATGGAGATGCTTTCGAGGACGTTAACAACTTTACATATCTGGGCAGCATCATCGACAAGAAAGGTGGATCCGATGCAGATGTGAGGGCGCGGATTGGCAAAGCAAGGGCTGCGTTTCTACAGTTGAAAAATATCTGGAACTCCAAACAACTTTCAAACAAAACCAAAATCAGGATTTTCAATACAAATGTCAAGACAGTTCTACTGTATGGAGCGGAAACTTTGAAAACTACCAAAGCCATCATCCAGAAGATACAAGTGTTTATTAACAGTTGTCTACGCAAAATACTTCGTATTCGTTGGCCAGACACCATCAGCAACAACGAACTGTGGGAGAGAACAGGTCAGATTCCAGTGGGTGAGGAAATGAGGAAGAAGCGGTGGAAGTGGATAGGACACACACTACGAAAAGCACCTAACTGAGTCACGAGACAAGCCCTCATATGGAACCCTCAAGGCAAAAGGAAAAGAGGAAGGCCAATGAACACATTACGCCGAGAAATAGAGAAAGATATGAGAGAAATGAACAAACATTGGACAGAACTGGAGAGGGAAGCGTCGGACAGATTTGGTTGGAGAAAACTGGTGTGCGGCCTATGCTCCATTGGGGATAACAGGCGTAAGTAAGTAGGATGACTGTTCCATCCTAATATCGGACTTCTCAGCGGTACTTATTTATCAAAAGCCCCAGAAAGGAATCGGACCAAAGGCCTATAAGTTTCACATTGGGCTCCTAAACTCCGACGAAATCCAATAGTGTGTATGTCTAAGCTTTGAAAGGCAGTTTTTCAGCAAAAGGACTGTAAGAAAATTGTATACTATCGTGAAATATTTGAAGCTATACACATACACCATTGGATTCCAAGGTCATTGGTCTAGGAGTCATATATTCACCTGCAAGACCAGAGTCTGTAGGGTTCAATGCCCTGTGGTGAAGTTATGGATGCAAACGGTTGAGGATTAAGGGGTTTTTTTTAGTGATGATAATGGCTTTATTTAGTATTTTATACGTTTGATACAATATGGATTTCTTAGTAAGGAATATTTCAACAACTTCTTCCTCTACGAAACAATTAGCGATCGGAAGTTGAAAGTAAGCATTTCAGGAATTGACATATTATTAAAGTTGATTCTTTTCTCAACAGATCATGAGCCACCAAGATATCTCAGATTGTGCCTTTTCAAACCGTATGAAGTGATGGATCGTAAACGTTTTATATACGCGCCTGATTATTAGACATAATTGATATGATCAAACAAATAAAAAGTGATAACTTGTTGAAATATTTTGATGTTTGGAAACAGTTAGCCAAAATATTCAAGCAGGTTCATGATATCAGCAAAAAATAATTATTATTTGTTTAGAGAACCATTAGACATTTGTTCTGTCCTTGTATATGATTCTTCTTCTCCTGTGTGCATGCTCAACTATCAAGAAGAATACAGACCTGGTGGCTGTCATATAATAATAATAATTAGACCACTTAATTGATACCCAATAGTCATTGATGAGTAATCTTGATCGATGACTCTCAGAATTCCACTGACAACCTAAAACTAGCTGAGTTCAGTCCTGTTAAATGTAAATTAGTTGCTTATCAATGAATGGTATTAGAATAAGATTAGAGATTAAAGTAAAGCCTCCATTAGATGTCTTTCAATCTCCGGTAAAGTTAAGATTGCGCACTTGAGGGAAATACCAAAATAGAATGAAATGGTTGACAGAAAACTTAGGACCTAAATTTCATCTAATATGGCACTAGTCAGCAAGATATTAACAAAACCAATCCTCTCTAGATGATTTAACACTATAGTACACAATGATAGGGGTTATCTTTATGCCAGACGGCTCAGTGGTTCAGAGGTTAAGCTTTAGCGCTCAAGACAAATATTCCTGGGTTCGAATCCTGTCGCTGCCTGGATTCATGTATGCACACTGCTGATGAGTCCCGAAAAACAGGACGAATTGGTCTGCCAGTGCTTCTAGCTTTTCTAATGCTTGGTCTAACAATGATTCATTCATGATTTAAATGTACTGGATAAAAATTAACACAATCTTACCTCACGATCTTCACGATCACATTCAAATCTAAAACATAGAGGGTTTGAAGAAAAAAAACAACAGAAATAAAGTGTATTGTTATAAAGTGAGTGAAGTAAAATGTATTGATCATTTTATCTAGTCTACTGAATGATTCAGGTTTTTAAAATCATAGACAGTACTAATCAGTTTGTAACAGTGTACAGTGTACATTTCACTGGTAAATACCATTAGGTATGATGCATTTATTTATTCACACAATTATATAAATTAATCCCACTATTGTCGAAGCTAATTTTACATTGGTTTTCAGAAGAATTGTGAAGATTGCCCACATGTTAACATTTCGACGTGAACAGTTCGGCTCAGTCTCGTGATGCAGCCGCACAAGTACCTGATACCTTGGTGGACCATTTATATACACGCTAGTAGATATATAGTGATTATTTCCGATCCATGATCGCGTCAGTCAATATGCAGAGTATGAACTGGCCAATGCGAACCATCCTGCTTACATCACTGTCCAATTCATCATAATTAGCAATGGTGATATGCAGTAATACAGCACCACAATGATAATGGCCCTCGAGAATGTTGAAAAACAATCACCAGTATCAATGAAATCGGTCAACCTGTTAGCAATATACTTGCCAAACAAATGCCAAGCCATCCACAATGATCATCACAGAAAACCTCTAGTCTCACAGGAAACCTTCAGCTGTATACAGCAGCAGTATAGCATGTGGTATACACATAGTATGGCATAGGATGATAGCAAAGGATGCAGCTCAGCTTGATGCAAATAAACTCAAACACTCTTATTACCTAGCACACTTTTTCTCATGTTGAGTAATGATTTTTTTTCACAATACCGAAATTTCATTCATTTTTTCAACTATATGAGATCTGAACTGGGAGTAGTATCCCTTATATTTAAATTACAAAATGATAATTTGAAAATAATTTTCATTTAAAAACCAGCGGATAATTAATTTATTCTCCTCATTAAAATGTTCGTTCAATGATCAATTTTTTTGTAACGTTATTTTTTTTTTGCTAAAGTTTATTTGCATTGTATGCAAGGTATGATGATTCGTTTTTTTTTTTCACAATTCACAGTAACGATAGATTAAGTGTACTACTGAAGTCATCCTGCTCCAAGTGATTTAAACTGCCCACAATTAATAAATTTAATGACATTATTGTTATTCTTTATGTTTATTTCGTTTTATCAGTCACGAAAGTTTGTGTATTCAAAAGTAGAATAATAATCACAGATAACAATTAATGATTGTTAAGTTTTGGCAAATTAGGATGGGCGGAATTAAGTTTTTTTCATTTATTGATTGAATGTTGAACAGATGATTTTCGTTTTGATTCATAAATTCTGTTTTGCTTTATTTTTAAAACAATAAACTAATCGATCTATTGCATTGCGGGGTTATTGTGAAGATTGTTAAGTTTTATTTGTAACCATGAATCGATCTATGGTAGACCACCATTAGAAACCTGGAAGCACTGCAAGACGGCCGTTTCTTCCTGGTATGGGACTCATCAGCAGTGCACATCCACGACTCGTGCAGCCCACAGGATTCGAACCCATGACCTTCGGTATTGTGCGCGAACGCTGATGAGGACAGATCGCCGATTGGAGGACAGGATAGGGGAACATATTCCAAAATGGTTAATCAAATCCATGATTTATCAACCTAGCCCATCATCTCAAAATCGATCAAGAAACCCAGCCTCGTCCATTGCAAAACATCTAATGATGAGTGGTCATCAAATTGACCCAAAATCAGCATTTAGAATTGTGACATGTCATCAAAACCCACACACACACTGAAACTAATCGAAGCTAACTTGATTGGTCGGAAAAGTTCAACTTTATGTGTTCAAAAACAACAGTATGTTGACCTTTGTTTACCATGGTTCTAGTGAGTGAATGTCATGCTAAATAAGAAATTTTGACCTTATCTTCAAAACTGCTGTATTTACATAAATAACATGTTGCTTGTAGTATGTGACTGACGAGAAAGCATGAAATGGTACTTACTATCTCACAAAATATGTCTTCTCATTTCTCTGTTCAAATTTATCAAAGGGAACCACTGTTTTAAATAATGAGCTACCGTTTTTTTGTTGTCTTTGGTAGTTTACTGTTACGTATGAACGTAAACATGTCATTTTGATATGCTTGAATTATTACAAGTTTACCTTAGTCGGAAAATGAGAGCGAGGATCGAGTATCCGGCGACACGACATGCTACTCTAATCCAAGTGTCCCAACCCCCATATTGAGTAAAAAGAAGAAGACTTGACATGATGTAGAACCCGTATTCAACAAACATCCAGAAGAGAATCAGGATCCCGGACTAGGAATCCGGGTCATAAAAACGTTACAGATAATGCGTATTTATGCATTTTGGTCGAATAGGAAATAGCATCAAATTCTGTGACATTGACAGTTAAGACGACCGATAGGAAACAACATTTGAAGTGACATTGATAGCTAGGACGACCATAAAATTGACCAGTAGGAATTAACTAATAGGAATTCACCAATAATTCTCTTAGGATATCGGATGAATCTCCTAACAGTTACTGCATAGAATGGTTGATTTCTACTCGTCTCGGCTTCTCAAAACAACTACAGACTTTCTCTCCTGGAGCTAGCTACTATTAGGGGCATGGTCATTGTTAGAATATTCTAGAGGTTAAGCTAACTAACTCTAAAACCAATTTTAATTCCTCCCACTAATACAGAACCCTCATGTTCATTACAATTCATAAAGTTATTCTGTTACAAATTCACCCATCAGAAACATGTTCATTTACATTATTTTCAAGACTTAAAGAAGAAAATGAAGTCATCAATTTGATAACTGACCAGGCATTAAAGAATTCAATTCACAAATGTCATGTATTTTGTGGTTTTTAAAAAAAAAATGAAGAAACTAACATTTATTGTACATTTATTTTCAATTCAATGTTCACTGTTATACACAATAACAAAATGGAGTACTGTCAAGACTGTAGAGTGTCTAGTAAATCTGTTTTAAACAGCTACCGTGAAAGTAAATAAAATCTCATTGAATTTAAAATGTTCACTAACTAAACAAACTTGATGTTTTTGTTTAGTGTGACGATAAACTTATTTCTATCAACTTGGTTATTTTTTTTCCATGTTATGTAACTGACATGTTGTATAATATAAGTATCAGCTGATAGGTTAGTTACGTAATTACTGTTCACAATTATTTCGTGATTTTTTTTGAATGGATTTCGATTTTGAATATGAGATTGATGTTGATATCTCGCCAACCTGCGTAGGCGAGATATCCGTTTGCTGACTAAAGGACCAGTGTACTGCGCAGCAGTTCGCTTCGTCTTACTTTATGGCTGTGAAACATGGAAGAAGATATCCGTAGGTTACTGGTTTTCAATCATAGGTGTCCCCAAAGAATTCATTCCTCGTGTATTATGGGACAACCGAGTGAGCAAGGCTGTTATTAGGAATCGGGTGCTAGGTAAGAATGGCAGATCAATAGATGAAGTGGTGAAACTTCATCAGTTGAGGTGATTGGGACATGTGTTACGTATGCCTAAACACCGACTGCATCGTCGAGCCTTGTTTTGTAGTGTGGGAGTAGGTTGGAAGAAAGTTAGGGGCGGCCAAATCAAAAAATGGCAACAATCCATGAAGTCATTGACAAGTGGACTGAGTCATGTCGGTAATTGTCGACTACCTGGTTGGGGTCCACGAGATGATAATAATCGATGGTTAGAGACCTTGAATGACATGGCTCAAAATCGTTCGCAATGGCGCCGGTGCATTTATTCTTTGTGTTCTCTCAAATCCTAATCTTCTGGATTCTTCAACCCCTCTAGTTTTGACTTTCTAAACTTTTCTCATTGAATTTTACTTCTTGAATAATATCTTCTAATCCTAACCTCTCCGATTACTTCTAATACCTTTACTACCTCTTCTACTATTGAATTTGAATTGACAATTATATCTCTGTGCTAATGTGGTATGGCGACATGAACTGATATACTTACGTACGGTGTTCTACGTTGCATCTGACTGACTGACTGACTTGATGTTGATCAATAGTCAATCAAATCGTATTAGTTTACTTATACGAAAGTAAAAAAAAATTTATATGATGGTTTGAAGTAAAAACTTGTATTTAAGGAATAAGATTTCATTTGGTTTTAAAATAATCAATTTGAATTATTCCGCCTGAAAACTGTTATGCTTGCCAGCAGTTGATATGCTTGAATGCTAATACGAGTTCATCTTCGGTTGGCAAACAAGAGCGAAGACAAATGATCCTGTGACATGATAGACTACACTCATCCGAGCCTCCCAAGGCCATGCTAACTAGAGGAATAAATCTTGATATGGTGTAGAAAGTGTATTCTACAAGCACCCAGAAAATATGAGGTTGACAAGCACACAAATCGAGTTTATTTATGATGCATGATAGAAACGTCCTTGGGAGGACCATAAAAATAACATACCAAAATAATGCATCAACCAATAACAGTCAAGGACTTTTCGTGTTGGAAATGTAATCTCAAGGTTAACTAGTCAGCCCATGCTCGTAAACATAAAACCCAAAATGAGGACCTTTATCATGTGAGTTCTAGGGTTCTAACGTCCCCAACACAAACGATGTGATATAGTTCATCAGTAGTATGAAATTTTGGACAGATATTCTATGTAAGATTTTTATTTAGAAAATTCATTTACAAATTGGAAGTCAATTTCTTCAAATTAATCTATCCGCCAATGTCAACTGAAGTACTGCTGTTAATCATAGAAACACTTCGTAATTATTTGGTTAACAGTTTCAAACATGCATTCCAACAACCCTTAAATTGTCAGTAATCGTAGTTAGGGAAAACATTTCTAAGTCGGTGCATTGAAGTCTAATGAATTGATTTATCAATAACTAACACCTTAGTGAGATACTCGTTAACCACGTACTAACTCATCCTTTGTTCTAAAATATATCACATTTAACGAGTAGATGTTTAACATCTTTTGACAAATTACTCAGTCGCAGATCGATTTCATTGAACTTGATTGGATTTTCAAAGAACTTACATTATGTGTTTGGGGCAGAGTTTTGGTGGTTTGTGTTTTTACACATTTGAAATCATTAATCAATCATTGTTAGACGACCACCATTAGAAACCTGGAAGCACTGAAAGACGGCCGTTTCGTCCAGGTAAGGCACTCATCAGCAGTGCGCATCCACTACTTCTGCTCCTCGCAGGATTCGAACCCAGGACCTTTGGTTTTCCGCGCGAGCGCCTAACGTCTACACCGATGTTAATATTTACCTTCGATTAATTCACGTTCTTGCAACAACCTCATACATTGTCTTCGGTAAGCACTGCTTCACATCCGAACATGGTTGAACTTCACTGGTCACACAGCTTCCCATTAGATTGTTTCAACTGTGTTATCGAATTAAATTTCAGACGAGAAAATATGAACAACACAACAATCTCAGAAAACAAATATATATATACATATACACATAAAATGGCAGTAAACTTACATTTCTGTTGTGATAATTTGTTTCTCTTCAAAACAATATTCTAAATTAAGACGTGTTGTATAATTCGGTGAAACATTATTATAAACAAGTTCAGTTTCAGTTACCTTAAAAACAAAACAAAAAAAAAAAGATTTTTTTTAAAATTTAAAATGTGAAATTATTTTGATCGTTAAAATAACATTTAGAAAACTTTCTGTCTATCTTATTATATTACGGGGTTGTGAAGATTGTTAAGTTACACATTTTTGAAACCATGAATCGATCAATGTTAGACCACCATTAGAAACCTGGAAGCACTGGACGGCCGTTTCGTCCTGATATGGGACTCCTCAGCAGTGCGCATCCACGACTCCTGCACCCCGCAGGATTCGAACCCAGGACCTTCGGTATTGTGCGCGAACGCCCTAACCGAAA